GTGCTGCGAAGGCTCCACGCCGCAGAACGTTGCTGCACGTAGCAGTCCCATGGGCACAAGATGTTGGCTTGCGCGGTGCTGCCGATGAGCCTGCTCATCACTCGAAAGGCACCGTGCGGGCTGCCATGCTCCGCTCGATGCTTCCCAGGAGTGGTGTCATTTCGAAGGTGCCGGGCTGAGGTCTGGTTGGCAGGCAGGCAGGAGCCTGCAGATTCTGCAACAGGCATGGCTCTTGCAGGCGCTTCTGCAGGAGAGTCACAGCTTGACGTGTGCATGTAGCTGGAGGAAGTGGCAGAAGTGCCATCCCTGCTCTGGCTTACGGAGTTTGGCAAGGTGGGTTCCAGGCAGGAAACTTTGCAAAGTCAGGTCCAGGTCGTCGAGGTCTTGCACCAGAGCCGGTCCAAAGCTTCCGAGCGGCAGGACACCGCCTGCCTTTGATCCAGGCCTCGTCGTTGCGCCGTTAGAAGGAAGAACCGCAATGAACCGAGGACCTGCGGAAGTTTGCAGGAACTTGGGATCCACTCGGAGTGGGCAATCGGAGCATATCCGGAAGCAGCCACAACTGCGCTGCAGGGGAGCCGTGGCATCAGGCGCCGTGCGCGTGGCCGCCGGGCTGCGGCATGATTCGTGGACGCTGGATGCATCCGACTGACAGGCAGCAAAAAGTTTGGCTGGGCAGTCTCGAAGAATCATGGTCTCAAGCCTGTCAACCCAAGAACAAGCGACAAAGCGGCAAACGGAAGGGAACGGCAATGACCACTGCGCAGGCCGAAGAGCTGGCTATCAGCAGAGCGCTGTCGTTCCTCCAGCAAGTGATTTGGTCCAGCCGCTCATCGGCTGTCGACTTTGAGGACCTCAAGGTCTTGTCCTGGCCATTCCAACACGTCAGCCCAGACCCATGTAGCCGCCACTGGCTAAGCTGAAGCTGCTGCTCAACTCGTGCATAGCCACACACAGTCAAATGCATGCAGCAGCCGCGACCCTGGCCTGTTGCTTTCCCCTTCGCACAGCATCAGCCGCGGCTAGCCACGGAGCACGAACGTGCAACGTGATACGAAGTGAGGAGCAGTTGGTACTCGTTTTCCAAGTAAGGGCGGTGTCGACATCTGCGCATGCCTTCGGATGGTCGGGCACTGCACGTGGCAACAGGCGTTTGGACAGAGCAGTCTGGCACAGTGGGCGCAGCCCAGGATTGGAGGCGGTTGGCATGCATTTCAACGGCAATGCCAAGCAAGGGGAACAGACCACGGCTGGGAGCGGCTTGGGCAGCTTCGTGGGTGATTGGATGCAGTGTCTCAAGCATGGAAGGTCACGGGCAGGTGCCAAGACGCCAAAACCTGCTGGAATGGAAGAACCGAAGCGACGGAGGTGCGATGCTTCTCTATCCTGAGTGACACGCCAGCAGCGCGCAAGGATGGCCCCGGGACTGGCAAAGGGCCTTCGGACAGGTAAGCGAGGCTGCTCCGTTCACAACAGAGCTTCCCTCTCACGGCTCGAAATGGACATCCGAGCCCACCGCACTGCAGGCGCTGCCCAAAAGGAGTGACCTATTAGGTCCGAGAGATCCTCGTGTTTTTCTATGGAAGGGCTTTCCAAAGCGCTATAATGACACAAAGGCAAATCCTCACCCAAAATCGGCACCTGCACGGAGTCATCTGGTATTGGGATGATTGCCTCATCAGGGTCTGGGTCCACGGGACCTGACCTTCCTGCCTGCAGGAGCGTGCGTGAAGCTTCAGGAAGCCGCTCGCGCCTGGGTGGCTCCCGGCCGGGCTTGTACTCACGGATGTGGCCCCAAGGCTGGCAGCTTCTCTCTGCCAAAGCGGCTGCGAGGATCTGCAAGATCTTCGCAAGCCGAGCCGCATATTCAGACATGCGTCCACTACCAGTGCACACACGAGAGTATGTTGCATGACTGGTACCTGTGCCGCCACGTAGGAAAGGAGGACGACTTCGATTCACCTGCAAAAGTGGGGTAGCTGTGCAATCCTTGCCGCACATTCCGCAGACTGTTTCATGTGGCAACAGTCTTCCTTGCTTCGAAGACTTTCCGAACATTGAAGCCGCTGACAAGAAACATGCTGTGTCTGACGCTAACACTGAAAGGCCAGCTGGCTCAGCACGAATCGCCTGCAAGGCTATGGGGACGTGCTGAGGCTACAGCCATTTAACGTATCAAGTCTTGCTTCGGCCTGGCTTGACGTTACACGCCTCGTTGATGGCTATAGTGCTGCATGCCCCCTAACGGAATGTGCGACTGACTGAATCAACTGGAGACCAACTGTGTCGAACAGAGTCATGCCTACGGTGACCTCACAAGGGACTGATCGTCATGCACCGCTTTCTTGACCCTGGTTTCGCTGCTTGTTCTCCGCACGGCCCTGACTGGTGCTCGTCTTGCAGCTGTGCTCTCTTTGTACTCACGTTCATGTTTGCACCGCCGCTGGACTAGCGAAGCGGGCCTGCGCGGAAGTGGCGAAGCAAGTAGTTCTGGGGAATTGTGGGCGTCCGGAGCTTGTTGCAAACGTAAACGCTTTTGTCTTCGCCCAGGTGCTTGAGGAGGAGATCCGCGAAGAGGAACCCACTTGCATGCAGAGGGACTAGTGTCATCATCTTTGCAAGGCCAGCCAGTCTGTCCGGTGTGTACACGCTGTGCCCGATGGTGAAGGAACCGGAGACGCAGTGAGGAGCGATTTGTGCAGACGGGCATCCATGAGCAGCGAGCGATGAAGTCAATGCAAGAAGTCTGGGCACAAAGCCAAACCACATGGCGCCAGGCGACTGCAATCTGTGTGCGGCAACTTGCAGCTGCACTAGACGGAGAGGAGAGTCTCGGCGGAACCTGTGCGGCGATATGGGCCTTAACGCAACGCACTCTGTGTCTGCCAGTGCACAGCAATTAGCGACTAGGCCTGGCCTTCGTCGGCACCTGTCTTCTATTCTACGAGTCTCACCCGATCGCAGGGCGTCGCCTGAGACCGCCTTTGCGGCTCCGCAAGCGAAGGACAGGTCCATCTCTTGGCACTCGGTAGATGCGGGCAAGGTTTCGCCTCCTCATGCAACCCGATAGCGCTACTCCACCAAGCTTGCAAAGGCTGCACGATTGCGCAGCAGGCCTGAACTCCTGTGGGCCACATCTGCGGGTCTTCGCAGAGCTCGCAACGACTACACTGGACACGGGTCGCCGCTCAGAACTCTGGACGGGGTCCCTGGGCGTGGGTGGCCTGGGTGATAAGGCCAAGGTGGGAACCGAAACAAGCCGAGACTGCAAGCTTTGGTTGCCTGCGGGCTTCTGCACCAAGCGGCTGCTGATCTGAATCTCAGTCATCCAAATGAAAGACTGCAGGCTTGATGTGGCTTTCCGAATCGAACACTTAACCTGCTCTCCCAAGTCCTTCTGCCACGACTGCTGCGTTAGCCTCGCACAGAGCCACAAGGCCCGGCTATCCCTGATATGTATCTCCAAGCCTTTGGCATAGCAGATCCCGTGCGTGCACTTTATCAGGGCAAGTGAATCTGTGGCCTGAGGTGGAACCCGGAGCTGCTGCCCCTGTGTTGCTTTCAAAGGCTTCAAAGCTCGTGATCCCAACTCTTCCTGGACCATCCGGACCTCCCCGCCCCTCTCAGAGTGAGCATCGTTTTGGCCTCGGGAGGCTCAGGACGGGCTGACTTTGTTATGTCTGGTTAGCCTAGCGCGACCGCAAGGGACCATCAAGCCGCGATCATGCGGCTGGGTTTGCCCACCTGTTGGACGACGACATTTCTTGCAAGCACTGGAGCCCCTGGCGAGGCTTTGCGATGGCGGGAGGTATGCGTCACAGGTTTGCCATGTGCAGTGTGACGAGGATATGCTGGCGGGCAGATCTGGCCAGCCTGGGAACACAGGCAACACATGCTGGCATTTCAATTGCCGCGCTGCTCAAGGGCAGGAACGTCTGATCAAGCACTCGGAACATGAATGGGAGCCCCTGGTGCCCAGCATTTTGTGGCATGTAAACATAGATACGACCTGAGGCCGTGGGCCCAAATAGGGAAATGCGCGACGTGTCAGCGAGAGCCCAATATGTGTCTCATACGGGATGTCTTCAAGGGCCTGTGTGGCTCTCGTCTCTGCCAAAGAACGCTCAGCGACTGGAGGCATTGGGCCAACCTGGAAGTGGAGGTATACTTTGACTCAGCACACACCTCTCGTAGTGATGCAGCATGAGAGAAGCGACATGCGGGCCCTACACAGTACAGGTCGTGTCAAGCCAAAAACGCAGGCTTGAAGGTTGCAAAACAAGAGCAGTCGGAGAAGCTCGCGAGTGCTGCATGGGCTGCGACCGCAGCAAACACGGCCGGTGCATGACATGCTGGCACCCAGCCCCGGACGGTTCTCCCAGCGGTGTGTCGTGCTTGCCCGTAAAAACGAGCATGGCCAAAGCAAGCGAAAGCTTTGGTGGTGGTGCAGACCTGTCTTCTATCACTGCAATCCGTACTCCCGAGCTAGCAACTCCTACTGATCCAACATAAGGAAAATCGCGTTTGGCTGAAGACGCTCGGAGAGAAGCTGGCAGTGCGACAATCTATCGGCGACCTCCTCTGCACTCTCAGCGCGGACCGAGGTCCCCGACACAGACACAAATAAGTGGCCAAAATGGCCGCCAGGTAATAGGCTAGACCCTTGTTGCAGGATAAGCGTGCTCCTGCTGCAAGGCATCCCGATGCCTGTGTCGAAAGGTTGCACACTGCAAGCGCGGCATTGCGCTTGGAGGCTCCGGCAGTCACGCGTGGCTGCTTGGTGGGCCGGGAGCGAGATGATCGCGCACCCCGGCGTGCAAGTTTAGTCTTTGAGAAGCTGCCTAGAGCGATTGCTGTCAGCTGGCCCAGTCTTACCGGCTGTGCCAGTGGCTGGGCCGAGCTCACCTTGTCCGTGGAAGGAGCGACGGCTTCTTCTTTGTCGCTGCACCAGTTCCAGTACTGAGTCCGCCTGAAGCTTCTGGTGACTCCGGCAAGTTGGCCTAATGCTGCAGGAGATGAACTAGCAGCTTGGAGTGCAACTGCTCGTGCTCGGGCCTTGGAATGGACTGTAATGACTTCACTGGAACAGAGCGCTCACCAGGGATGGGGATCAGAGTGGTGACTCTGTGCTTGCTCTTGGTCCCAGTCCTCGCAGTTGCTGTTTGCTGCAACGGAGCTGCCAGGATTGGCAGGGCTCTCTTGTCGGAAAACTCACAAGGCGGAGCCGCAGTGCTGAAGAGCTCCATGTCTCCAAGCAAGCCTGAAGGGAACGTGCACTGCCACGAGAGCTCAGATGCCGAAGAGGCACCAGTGGCCTCCATCGTGTTGGTGCTGCTTCCGGGCGACTTGCTTGGCCCGCGGTTTCGAGTAGGGCTCCACGTCAGAATGCAGGAGACCGCATTGCTGAAATCAGCATTCCGAACGGGTGCCCCCGATTGCTCGGACACCTCTGAGCCCGCACGTTGCGTGGCAAACTTTGTCGTGAGTGGGGGCATGGGAGGTGGAGATGCAGATGGTGCAGCCTGTGGAGTGCCAAGGTTCAGGTGAGGAATCATGCCGCGGATATCAACGACAGATTGACTGGAAGTGGGCTGCAGCTCTATACCAGCATGTCTGGTAGCGAGGCCGGTGTGCAGTTCCTCATGAAGTTCTGGATCATCTGCTTCATGTTTGCAAGAACATCCTGCAAAGTGGTATTCTTCGACACACTCACAGCGCCGAGCGACATCTCCTGCTGTGTGTACATGCTTGCCAACTGCTGGGCAGCATTGATGCTGCTCCGCTCCTCTGACGTCTCCAAAGCCCAGGAAATCAGTGGCGAAAGCTGAAGCAGCCGCGGGGTGCAGCCCAGCCAAGCCGGGCATGCGGCTGCCTTGAACCCTTCACTCCGACTTTGACGTGGTCGAAGCTGAGATTGCAGGATGTGCACACTCTTGAGCACCCTGCTCATGAAGGCGGCAGGCAGCCAAGAAGGCAAGGCACAAGCCGGTTCGCCGATCTGTCTTGAACAGACGGAAAGATCCGAGCTTCCAAAGCAGGGCTCATAGTTCGCGAGCTTGTGCTTGGGGGGCGTCAGGTAGAGGCAGGTCGCGGGCGCTCACAGGAAACTGCAGAGACTGATGCTTTCTGCACCCTCCGGGCTCTCTCCAACTCAGGACGCGGAGTCCAAGTGAAGAGAGGGAAGAGCCACATCAAGACGTCTTCGCGACCACATAGCTCCGCAGAGCGCGGGCACCGCACCCTTGGAACTTAGCACCTGTATCGGGTTGGCGTATGTCGACAAGAGCAAGCCTGGCTACACCTGCAGCACACGCAAGCATGGCATCTACTTGTCTACTTACTTGGCAAAAAGCAAGGGTTCGTCTGCTTCGAGGCTGGACCGATCAAGTCGCTCCTTCACGGGAGCAGGAGCTCTTCTTTGAATTCCCCTGGAGTGAGTCATCTCAAGCCGCAAGGACCACCCAGGTCACGAGCATTTGCACGCTTGCCCACTGTTCAGCGAGCGCGGCAAAGCTGATCGGCAACTTTGCGCGGTGCTATCACATGTCAACGGCGACTGGGGGCGCACATGAAACACGCCAACCCATGTGCGAGATCTCAGGGCTCCTGCTGAAGAAGCTTGCCTCGGCAAGGGGTCTCCGCAAGGCTGCGGGTTTGCGCACGGCACATCGTCCGAGGCCTGGAGCCTCAAGGCCGCTGGGTGGTCTGAGAGAGACTCCGGGAGGGCCTGGAACCTACCAACCCTGCAGAAGAAGAGTCTTTAGCCCGCTGACGCACTCCGCAGCGGTCTCGACACCCAGCACCTGAGCAGTGATGAAATGACCCTTAACATGGAAATGGTGATCAGATCCATGCTGCAGCTCTGGACTGAGAGAGGGTACAGTTCTGACAGGACAGCGACCTCCTACTGTAGCAGCTGAATCTTCGTGACCATCGACTGGATGCTGCCCATACGGTATCATGTAGCTTGCCTCCTCATCTGCAGACGACCCTTAGACTAGTTCATTCGGGTCTGGAGTGATTGAAGACTCGTCGCTGGCCAGTTCCAGGTACAAGGCAATGTGACGCCACTGCAGCTGCTTCTTGATGGCACATCCTGACAGCAGGCGTATTTCCAAGGCCATGGCACCGCATGTCCCACTAGTCCTACTATAGTGTCAGCGCAGTGAATAAAGTCAACATCAAGAACCCGATCGGAACCTCTTAACTGTTCTCAGAATATCACAAACCTTGGGTTCTCGGACGCTCAGCAGACTGATGCACGCCATGGCTCGTCTGATCAAGGAGCCTGGATCGCAATCCATTTGTCCAGTCCATGGGCTGCGGTTCTGCTCAAGCTGCAGATGCGCTGGCTACCTGAATGAAATTCTAGCTCCATGGCTTGCAGAACCTTGGGTCTGTGGTCTATTGAACCTGTTGCCCTCATAAACTTGACAGGCAACTTCCTGGAAGCTATCGGGAGCCCTGAGCCCAGCGCTTCAGGAGCCTCCGCATGTCCGACCCTCAGTTCTTGCGAGGTGCCAGAACCATAGCAGCGTCGCCATGGCATGGATGCTCACCGTTGGCACGCACGAGAGGTCAACCCTCGACGTCATCACAGTCCTTGGTTCCGGTGTTGGCTCTGCACATACGCATGCACGACGAAGGCAGGCTCAAGCCTGTCGTGCACTCTAAGCGAAAGTAAGGGCGCTGAGTCAGGAGGATCCGTTTTAGTCTTTGACTGCCAGGGCACCAGGGAAGCTGCCACGGCACCACTTGGAACGGGAACGGGACATCTCAGCGACGCCGACACCTCGGGAAGACCCCAGGCCAGTCCGACATTACGAGGACTTGAGTTCCAGGTGATGTAAACCCGAACAGTCCACGCCCTCCCACCCAAAGGGACCTGAAAGGGTGCGCCGCTGCATGCAGGGACTTGCCATGCTGCGCTGCTCTCGACAAACTTCCAGACTCGAGGGCGAGTTTGTCAGCTCCTGCTGAGCGCATCACATGCAAAACCACATGCTCCAATGGAAATCGAGCCTTTGCGAGTGCTTGTTCGACCTGTTTGTTAGATATCAGAAAAGATCAGAGCAAATTCGCACAAGCTGCTTCACCTCCGGGACATCGTTAGCAAGTCTCACACCCCAACGTTGTGTTGTCCATTTTTGCATCAATAACATGCATAAACCCGGCATGTGTTGTTGGGAATGCTGCAAGAACAACGAAAGAGCTCCGCAAGGGCCATGCATATAGGCGGGCTTTCTCAGTTCTCGTGCCATGAGCAGTGACCCTTCTGACGTGCAGTTCACATGGTAACATCTTATCCCGTATCGAATTATTGGCAATGACCTCATGTCCGGTCCCGTAACCAAGAGCCTCAATTCCCGCCAAGTCGTGGTCCTTCTTGCGGTAATGCTCACGATGTCAAGTCGGTCCGCGAACCTTGGTGGGTTGCAGCTGCTTTTGAGCTGTGCATGCTGTGTGCGTGGAACACTTGTGCGGCTTAAACTGGTCCCAGGAGCGTGTTCACCGTGTCAGTGCCGGTGAGGACTGCCTTGACGCACGTCACGCCTCAGAAGTCCCGAAGGCCCCAGTCAATCGGTGCCGTGGCGCCAGGTCTGATCTCAGAAGTTTGAGGGTGGAGGCTGGGGCTCGAGCAGTATGCCGGAATTGTGCTTTGAGGCCTCACGCGGACGCTGATGCGTAAGGTATAGCCGACGAGTCTTCCCTGCCCCTGCCCCAATTGAAACCGACGCCTCGGTCCACCGTCGTCACAGAGGCACACGACACCAGGTGTCTGGGACCGGTGGCCTCAGGAGCTCAAAACTTGGTTGTGCGAGCAGGTGCTCGGAGGTGTTCCACACCTCAGCTCCGCACCGGCCCATCGCTGAGAAGGTACACACCGTGGAGGCCAGCGAGCCTTTTGCAGGTCAACAAGAGAGGATCCAGCCACAATCCCTCGAAACTCTGCAACAGCGAACCGGTCTTGACTGCATCAGGGTGCCTTGCGCAATGCTGCGGCAACGAACATGCTGGAAGAGCACACCAAGCTCGCCTTCGGCAAATCCATGGCGACCGGCAGCATCTCGCTCCTTTAAGGCATGACCAAACCCGGACCGTAACAGACACCTGAGTGCATGGCTCCAGGAATTTAGTGTGTACAGCCGGCCTTGGATTTTGGGGGGCTGTGTTTTTTTGTTGGGCTGAAGTGTCGCACGCGCTTCAGCCTTCCCTCGCTCGCTAGCTGTGATACTCCAGACTCAAGACCCACACTCAACCTAATATGCCCCGTCGCCGGATCCTGCGACTGCAAGCCGGACTTGGGGCGAGAGCTTGAGTCCGCCTCGTCGTCAGACCTGGTTGAAATCAACGCACACATACAGGTTCCAGGGATGAGCTTCCAGGGCTTGGAGCTATCGGCTTGCAGCTTTCAGCAAGTGGCTCTTCGCAACGTCCCTGCCCCCGCGGCACACCGCCGCCAATCCTGGAGCACTGCACCAAGTTCGTGAAACTTCAAGCTTCGGAACCTTCGTGAATCTATGCACGGATTGACCACACACACCCGATGAGAAGCAGGCAAGCAAGAGATCCGCTTCTCCAACCAGATCGAACTGTCCCGTACTGTCCGAGTGCTATACATTTTCAGGAAAGCCAATATCAAAACACGTGTGCAAGCGTCGATTTTCTGCCCGTGCCAACCTCCCCGCAGCCTGTCCTGCGTGGGCAAGAAGTTCACGCAGTAGGCATCGTACCTTGCAGAGCATGTCCTCCAAGCAGGAGTGGCTCCGCGATCCTGACCGTAAGGGTCGCCACAGTGTTCATCAGGTGCACACTTCAAAAGGCGTGAAACGAGCACATCAACTGCGCGACAGCATGCAGATTTTTCTCGAGTGGGGCCTCGGCGAGCTGCAGAAGCAGAAGCCAGGGCATCAGACTTCCATCGGCGCTGCGTTTCGAAGCCTGCAGGCTTAAGGCTCTCACTAGTGCTTCTCTTCAGCAAGCATTTAGGCTAGCCTGCTAGTCACTAGCCAGCTCGCAACCAATCCATCTACCCGGTAGGATCATGCACAAAATAAATCTGTAACTTCCGGGCTGTCACAATCTGCACGTAGAACTATCCGTGACAAAAAAGGCTAAGACCTCACAGCATTGAAAGGGGTGGCAAGAATGCACCATTGCAGCTTCAATCCACAGGGCTTGCCCGGGAGAGTGGTGTGGGAGCTCTAAAGTAATCGATCATCCTCTTCTGTGCTAAGAATCATGCTCGAAATCCCGACTGGCAGTGACAGACAAACAAGACGGATAACATTGAGCACAACACATCCACTCACGCACTCTGGAATTCGGTTGTTTTACACTCGCTTACGTAGGCATCGTCGAACCCGCCCCTCCGTATCCTAAGTCGGTTTAGCCCTTGAGGCTTCTTGGCTCCTACAGAGGTTGCTGCGACGGACTGCGGCACTCAGCAAAGGGCCGCGCTAAAGCCGAAACCCGGAAGGCCCCGGCCCCGACCTGCCTTCTTGTTGTGCCAGCCGGCCTCTACCTCTGATCGGCGCGAGCGCCGAAGGGACAGGCCTCGACTGTGACCTGACGACTCTGGGAAATGAAAGGATGCTGCTGGGAGATAATTCCGGTCTTGAGGCTCGATGGCACCGGCAACACGTTACTGCGACGAGATGAACTCACGGCTGCCACTGAACCACTGGTGTGTCGAATTCGGATGTCTTGCCAAACTCATGCTGCTGAACAACAGAGCGAATTTTTCTGAACGACTTATCTTAAACATCGACTGAAGACCGCCCGGTCTGCTGCTGGACTTGTGAAGAACAACCAGGAGAATGGCAACACAGCGCGGTGGCACCACTGGCACCACCCATCTACA